TGGGGCTTCCCACGTGGCGTGGTGCAAAGCAGGGTGAGCCGAGGGGGTCTCTGGATTTCCTCAAACCTCGCGCGATGGATGGAGCCCCCGTGCGACATGCTAAGACCTTGTCCTCCAGGGCAAGACAGGGAGGGAGGAGACCAGGGGGACCTGACCTGGGACATGCTCAAACAGAAAGGAAACTTGGCTTTCTTACACCCATGGAAACATTTTGATTGGCAAAGAAAGTCATGCTCTGATTTCAATTTTTTAATTCCCCCGCCATTTCCCTTCTGGCTTGTGGTTTAAATTGGGAATTGAAATTTTTTAGCAAAGTTTTTTCATGACCAAGGGGCACATTTGCTGTAGCCACGCCAGCACGCCCCAGATCACAGGTAAGCCACCTGAAATTCTAAAAGCAAAGAGGAAACCCTCCTTCAAGGCAGGGGGAGGGAAGCCCGGGCTTTTTACATCCTCTTTTGCAAGCGGCAGGGCTGGATGCACCTTGCTCATCCATGCACCCCAAAACCACTGACCTCCGCTGCGCTCTCCCCCCCTCGCAGAAACAAATGGATGAGGCGGAATTCAAGAGGCTGATGAACGACCTGGACCACGACAAGGACAGCGAGGTGGATTTCAAGGAGTACGCCTGCTTCCTAGCCTGCATCACCATGGGCTTCAACGAGTTCTTCAAGGACGGTCCCACCAAGCAACCCCGCAAGAAGTGACCCTGCTGCCTACGGCGTCGCCGCGCGGCTTACAATAAAAGCTTTCCCAAAGCCTCGGTGTGCATCTGGAGGGTTTTATGAACCACCGGTTAGCTGTCAGGGGGGTGACTCATGCCTTTCTCCAGCTCCGTGGGACTTTCCACGGTGAGACTCAGCCCCCGGAGGCACGTCTTGGAAAAGCCAGAGTGAAACGGCTCAGCGCTGCCTCCGAGCAGCGTAAGTCGGACATCCCACCCCAAACCCACCCCTGCTGACTTGGGGAGAGGTTCAGAGCGTGTTTAGGTCAAAACACACGAGCTTCCCTAAGCCCAGCTTGGTTCATAGGTCGGCACAAGCTGCCCTGAGCAATGCATCGGGTTTGGGGAGAGAAAACTGGCACGGAGGAACCAGATGGGAAAACCCAAGGTCCGTGCAAAGCCAGAGCGTGTCCCCGGTTCCCATGGAGAAGAGCAGTTTCAGAGCAGCTGGAGGAGACCCTTAGACCCCTTGGGATGTGGATGAACCCACGCTGGGGGACTGCATCAGAGGTCAGCCTGAGCCCCCGAAGTTTACCATGGAGCTGCTGTGGGTTTCCTGGGCACACCAGCCTGCGATACTGGCTGGGGAACACGGGGTTCACCCCCCCTTCACCCCTCCCATAGTCACAGCAGCTCCCGACAGGTCCAGGCTAGTTTGCAGAAAGTGTTGCAGCTGCTCTCCAACTTTCCCCAGCTGTCCCAGAAACCCAGAGAAAGCACCCCAGCTTCCAAAAGCCCTCGGAAAACATCCGTATCATGGCACAGCAGAGCAGACCCCCTGCCAGAGCCCGGCCCCAAATCCTTCCAGCACACCCACAACCACCCCAGCAGCTCCAAACTTTGCCCTGCTCCTTCCCAGGGTCTTTATAAAGAGCCCTCAGGAGCTTCTGCTCCCTCCCACTAATTTGCACCAGTTTGCGTCTGCTGCTTAACGAGGGGATGATGAGGTTCAGGCTCAGGGGTTGCTTTTGCCCTAATGGTCCTTAAAGAAACCCCCTACCCAGGGAGAGGACGCGCAGTGTTTGGTGAGGTTTCACATTCTGGAGCTGGCAGCAGGGCTTTGTCCTCTGTTTTTCTCACTCTGGTCCCCACAGCAGCAAGTGCCCCTGTCCCCTGGGGGCTCGGCCAGGCTTGGGGACACTCGGGGTATCTGTCAGCCCTTGCACCGCGGCGAACAGCCAGCTCAGCCCATGGCAGCGGGGTGCAAATTGTTAGCTTCTGGCTTCCCCCCCACAGCTGCCCGACACGTGCGCGGGACACGCAGACACCAAAATAGAGCTTCGTTACACAACGGGGCGTTGTGACGCACTGCCCGGTTAGGAAACTGAAATAGTTTGCAGTCAAGTTAAAAACAGAAAAAAAAAAAAAAAAATCACCCGAACTCCAGGACAACAACAAAACTGTGGACAAATCCCGCTCGGTTTCGTGCAGCTCCAGACATCCCCGGGGACGCTGCCAAAACCTTCGTGTGCGGCATCGCACTCTGTGCCAGCACCGGTGGGAGGAAATGCCCACCCTGCCCTCGCTTTATCCCTCGTCCCCAGGGATGCTCCTCGGCCAGGTGGTCCCTGCCCAGCCCTGGGGGGCTCATTTTGCTTTTTCTAACCCAAACCAGCCCCCTTGG